ATTTTGTGCTGAAATTAAAACTCAATTTAATGTTCTTGTTCGTGTGTTGAGGGCAGACAATGCCCAAGAATATCTCTCGGCTCCATTTAAATCTGTTATGCTTCAAAATGGCATTATTCATCAAACTTCATGCGTAGATACACCTCCTCAAAATGGAGTCGCTGAAAGAAAGAATCGACATCTGTTAGAAACTGCAAGGGCTCTTCTATTCCAAATGAATGTGCCTAAACAGTTTTGGGCGGATGCCGTGTCTACCGCATGTTTTTTGATAAACCGTATGCCGTCTTCTGTTTTAAATGGTAAAGCTCTGTATCACTGCCTTTTTCCAAATAAAGAACTTTTTCCTATCCCACCTAAAACATTTGGTTGCACTTGCTTTCTTAGAGACGTTAATCCTCATCTTACAAAGTTAGACCCCAAATCATTAAAATGTATTTTCTTGGGTTATTCTCGAGTTCAGAAGGGGTATAGATGTTTTTTTCCAAGCACGGGTCGATATCTTGTTTCCATTGATGCATCATTTCATGAAAATACACCTTTTTCATCATCCAAGACAGATATTCATGATGACAATGATGAAATATTCATTTACTCTGTCACTATACTGGAATCTACACCTTCTGTAGTTATTCCACATGTTACTGTTCCCAACCCCAGACCGCCAGTACACTTGGTTTACACCCGTCGAAACAGAGCATCAGATCACCCTCCACCTATGACTCCTGTGATTACTTATCCCGATATTGGCCCGTCCTTGAGCTCATGTCCTGAACCAGTACATGCATCTTCAGATCTTGTCTCTACATGAGATCTTGACCTTCCGATAGCACTACGTAAAGGTACACGGTCTTGTATTCACCCCCATTTCTTCATTTGTGTCATATAGTCAGTTATCCCCTGCCTCATGTTCTTTTATTGCTTCCATCGATTCTATTTCTGTTCCTAAATCTGTTAAAGAAGCTTTGTCTCATCCTGAATGGCGTCATGCCATGGTAGAGGAAATGAATGCTTTGGATCTTAATGGTACTTGGGATTTGGTAGACTTGCCTACAGGGAAGAAGTCTATTGGATGTATGTAATACCCCGAAAATTTGAGAGAATTTGGGAAATAATTAAAATTGTGTTTCATATTGTTTACACGGTCTTTAGGTCGTTTATTATGTTTGGTTTAGTGTTTGGGACAAAGGGGAGGTCCAAATGGGGAAGAAACAGGGTAAAAACTAAGGTTTGGGCGTCTGGGGGTCACGCACGGCGTGCGTGGAAGGTACGCACGCGTGCGTTCCTGTTGTATCTTAATGCAACTCAAACTTCAGAAATTCACTATAAATACATCCCTAATCCGATTTTCCTCATTCCAAAAACCCTAGGACCGCCTCTTCAAGCTCTATCCCTTACAGATCTTCAATATTAACGTATCCAGCACGAAATTTTATGCCAATGATGAGATCAAACAATCCAATATTCCGGTAAGTGCGTTTGTTGCCTAATTCGCGTCGTTCATCCGTTTCCTTAATTTCTTTCTCCTAAATTGAGATCCTTCGAACCTATCACTTCCTAGGTACGTGTGAATGATCCATCAAACTAGGTTTGACATTTAGGATTCGTTGCTAGCCTCGAGGTAAGGACTATTGCAACCAAAATTACTATTTTGCCCCTATATTGTATAAACTAGGGTTTGTGCTATGATTTGAGTTTCTTTCTGAAATTTTATGGATAATTCGGCTATAATAGTATGAGTATGATTATGTATGCTTTTCTGGGAATTTATGAACATGTGATTTTTGGTGAATTTATCAAATCAGTTTATCATGGCTAAAATTGTGATTTTTGATGATTGTTCTTTTGGGATTGGAAAATTTTGGTGATTGTTTTGGTATGAGTTGAAGAATGATTTGAGACTATTATAACTGGTTATATTGAAAATATATTATGGGTTCAGAATACTCCAATTTGATTATTTTAGTGGTAGTAGTAAATGCTACTTTTGGGAAGTGGTTGTTTGGGTTAAACCCTCTTTTTGGAAAGTGTTGTGAGATCAAATCTTTTGGGATAAATTATATATTTTTAAATGTATAATTTGGTATGAAAATTTACATATATATTCTGGAGTTATAAATATCCTTATTGGATTATTTTGAATATGGTATTAAATACTATATTGGAACTAGTTTTGGATAAACCCTAAATTGTAAGTTTCTCTGCCAATCCAAAATTGTTTCCTCGTATTATATGCTTATTATGCATTATGTGATTAAGTGTGAATTGTGAATTTTGTGTATGTGATTTTGAGGAGATATTATATATATGGTAGTTAAGAAGTATAAATCAAGTACTTTTGGGGTATTAAATATTTTAAATACCTTCGAGACTTTTTAGAGAAATTAAGAAGTATTTTTGAAGTAGTGTTAAGCGAAGATAAAATTTACATTTTCATAAGAAGTGAGCATCTCGGGAGTAATCCGAGGTGTCGGTTTTCCACATCCGGATAAATGTGGAGGGTGATTAGAGCTACTACTACTAAGAAGTACAGTTTAAGTTTCAAGTGAGATTTGGATCTATGATCCCTTTTAAGAAGAAGTTATAGTAGTAGTCCCTAATCATTCAAGAATTTTAGAGGTGGGGTGGTTGAGTTCCGACCACTCGGGATGACTTACTACTCGGAGGGCTTGGAATCCCTTTTAGGGGGTGTGCACACTTAAGGTAGTCGTTTCGTTTCCGCAAGAGCAGTTGTGGTACCGGCATTTGTTCGGGGTGGCCGTCCGTAACCACGGTCCACCGGGCTCAGTCGAAAGGTTGAGCACCGCCCTTCTAAATTAATAGGAAGATAGAGAAGAAGTGATTTTCTTAAGAAATTTAAAGAGAAGAATTACTATGATATTTTCCAAGAGAAGTTGAGGATTTTAGCAAAGAAGTGATTTTAAGAAAAATCAAAGAGAAAAGTATTTTGGTGGAGTGCGTCATTTTTATATAATATTATATGAAAAACTATTTTCGCCAAACGTGATTATTTTACGGGGTTGGGTGGGCCTTACTTAGCTAAAAAGCTAATTTTTGTTTCCTTTTCTTTGTTTTGTTTTCTGCACTTTAATTGTGCAGGTGATGAAGGTTATGCATAATGATGAGAGCTGCGTTAGATCACGTAGTTTAGTATATATAATCACCTAGTTATTGTTTATTTCAGTTTGAGAACATGTAGACATTTAAATTATTTTTGAAATTTTCAGTACTTAAATACTTGGATTATTTTTGGATGGTGGTTTAGCATGTGCATTCGGTTATGTGAGAACCGAGTGTGGCGGTAACACCCATTTCCCTGTTAAGACTTCCGTTGTATCTCTGATGTTTTCAAATAAAGTTGATAATTCCTTTGAATAAATCATTATTTAAATGTATTTTTGGTTGGGGAAAATGGGGGTGTTACAATGTAAGTGGGTCTTTGCTGTTAAGGTTAATCCAGACGGATCTGTTGCTCGGTTGAAAGCCCGATTAGTTGCGAAGGGTTATGCTCAAACCTATGGTGTTGATTATTCTGACACTTTTTCTCCTGTTGCTAAATTAACATCTGTCAGGTTACTTATTTAACTCGCTGCAAGTCATGATTGGCACTTACATCAGTTGAACATTAAAAATGCATTCTTGCACGGTGACCTTCAGGAAGAAGTTTACATCGAGCAACCTCCGGGGTTTGTTGCTCAGGGGGGTATGGTAAAGTTTGTCGACTTCGAAAATCTCTTTATGGTCTGAAACAGAGTCCTCGTGCATGGTTTGGGAAGTTCAGTCGGTCAATTGAACAGTTTGGAATGATCAAAGGCAAATCAGATCACTCACTCTTTTACAGACGAACAAAAGTAGGTATCACCTTGCTTGTGGTGTATGTCGATGATATTGTGATTACAAGCAGTGATAATGCAGGTATTTTGGCCCTTAAAATTATCTTCATAGCCAGTTCCAAACAAAAGATCTAGGCTCATTGAAATACTTCTTGGGTATTGAGGTAACACGGAGTAAGAAAGGCATATATCTATCTCAACGAAAATATGTACTTGATTTGGTCGCTGAAACAGGGAAGTTGGGATCAAAGCCGAGCAATACTCCCATGGTTCCCAATGTGCAACTCACTCAAGAAGGCATGCCATTTGAAGACCTAGAAAGATATAGACGATTGGTTGGAAAGGTTAATTATCTCGCAGTCACTCGTCCAGATATTGCTTACTCTGTGAGTGTAGTGAGTCAATACATGTCATCTCCGACCATTGATCATTGGGCTGCTGTAGAACACATATTATGTTAGTTAAAGGGAGCACCAGGACGAGGTATTGTTTATCAAAACCATGATCACATGAGAATAGAATGGTTTGCAGATGCTGATTGGGCTGGTTCTAAAGATGATCGAAGATCTACATCTGGCTATTGTATCTTTGTTGGTGGTAATCTTGTATCGTGGAAGAGTAAGAAACAGAATGTGGTTTCTCGTTCTAGTGCTGAATCAGAATATCGAGCTATGGCACAATCCGCATGTGAGATAATATGGATACACCATTTATTGAATGAAATTGGATTGAAGACACCAATGCCTGCTCAGTTGCGGTGCGATAACCAAGCTGCTATACACATAGCAAACAACCCCGTATTTCATGAGAGAACAAAGCATATTGAGGTTGATTGCCATTTTATTCGAGAGAAGATACAAAAAGGATTAATCTCTACCGGGTATGTGAAGACTGGAGAACAACTTGGAGATTTATTCACTAAAGCTCTAAATGAGATTCAAGTTGATTACTTATGTAACAAGTTGGGCATGATAAATATTTATGCTCCAACTTGAGGGGGAGTGTGAAAGTATTATTGTATCTAGGAATATGCTTTAGGAATATGCTCTAGAATATGCTTTAGGAATATACTCTAGACATTATTATTGTATAGCATCTTATATAGGAATATTCCATCTTTGTAATATATATATATATGGCCTTAACCCTCTAATGAAAGACACAGAAAATCTTTCCTCCACTTTTCAATATTATTCTAGTTTATATTTCAACAGAACTGAATCTGTAATCAAGAAACTGAATCCGGACGACGAACGCGAGGAACAATCATCTGTTGTTCTGGTTTATATTCCTGAAATTCGTTATGTTGCAGGGATGATAGGAAAATTTCCTAGTTCTTTTGCTTCTCTTACTCTCGTACATATGGATGGAAAAAGCAAGGACAATAGGAAACTAAATCATGTAACAAATGAGAGCAGTGAATTCTTGTTCACCAAAGTCAAGCCTGGAAAATATAGATGTAAAGTCAGGAATTCTTTAGGAGTACTTTTTGAGGAAGACAGATGGTACGGGGATGAAAATTTGGCCTACGTTGGACATTCAGTTCGAAAGAACACAAGGGATGCTAATGAACACAAGATTGTCATGCTTCTATCCCTGGACTCCTCAGATATGGGACTGAAAGGGGATGATAATTTTGCTCTTGGTAGCAGTGTTGAAGAAAAGGTTGATGAAATAAAACAGATTGGTGTTGTTGACAATTTTAAGAATCGTGCAGAATCTGAAAGAATCAAGTTCCTGGAAAAGATATTGGAAGAAAAGCTAAGGTTACAAGGAAAGATGCTGATGTTTGGATGTTATAACATTTACAACAATAAGAAGCATTATGCCACTATGTCCTTATTTCTGTTTCTTCCTGCTGTGAAGTACATATGGAAGAAGGTTCAAGTACCGAAGCTAAAAGTCCAGAAACCAGTCAAGTATTGGGAGGGGAGAGGTGCAAGAATGAAGTTGAAGTGGAAGATCATGGTTGTTCCCTATCACCCACCTTGAGGACAAGGTGGTCTTTTAGGGGGGGAGTATCGATACGAACATAGACAATAATACTAATAAGAATATTAGAATAGTATTAAAGAGTGTAATAGTGTATAAGTGAAGATTCTGGACCATTTAGTAAAACAGGAATAATGGGCCAGCCCTTAAAGAAATAGAAGTACTATAAATAGAAAGGAAGGGGAAAAGGAGAATGTAGGCAAGTATTCAGTTGGATTTGGCTAGGCTAGGAGATTGGGCATCTCGAATGGTCCATTGTATTCCTTTTGTAAACACATCCTTCATCAATAAACACTTTCTTGATCTCTTTCTTGATCTCTTTCTTACTGATTCTCTACGACTCTAAATCAGAATAACCAGTGATCTAACATCGGCTAATGAAAATGGCCTCCATTTATTTAGGGATTGTCCTAACACGCAAGCTGTTCCGGAGTGGGCTGGAATATATTCCTAGTGCAGCAAGTGAAATAACTTTGGAAGGATGGCTTGAGGCAGTCCTTAAGATGCTGCCAACGGAAGAGTGTTGCAGGTTTATTATGTTTCTTTGGAGCATTTGGAAGCTAAGAAATGGTGTTGTTTGGAAGGAAGAAAATATCTCACTGGAGGGGGTTAAGAGAACTGCAGTTGCAGCGGACAGCAGCTGGTCGTGGTGGGGAAATGTGGAAGAAACCGAGGGCGGGTTGGGTAAAAGTCAATATAGATGCGGCTATAGATAGTGGGTGTGGTCGGAGCGTGTAGGGGTGGATAGCAAGAGATCACAGCGGGATGTTTTTACGAGCACAAGGTCAGTCTTTCGAGGCTAATTGGACTCCTTCAGAAACAGAAACCTTAGGAGTTTGGGAAGCTTTACCGTGAGCAAAAGATATTGAATGGGGTAGGGTGGTGATAGAGACGGATGCTAGTATGGTTACGACAGGAACCCAAGGGGGTCCTGGAATTTGGTGTAGGCGGTCTATGAATCAAGCGGCTCATGCATTAGAGTAATGATTCTTTTACAATTGTGTCAGTTTATATTGTAAGCCATTTGACTAATGAGTTATTGGTTTAATTAATATATATGGCAACTTTTCCCTTAAGATGACATTATGGATAGAGAAATTTACTGGGTCTAAGATTGTCTATAACCCTTCTCGGCTTCTCCTAGCCCTCAACTCTGTGTCTGGACTCTGGTGGCTCAAAACTGTTAAAGAAGGCACTAACTGAGAAGTGCCCGGCCAGTTCCAGTCTTCCAGCCATTAGCCCTCAGCTCTTGATTTCTCACTTGAGTCCTGCTAAATGTACACTTTTGTGTACATTCATTTGTTTACATAGACAATTTGTCCCACGTTATGTTTTATTTTACGAAATATAGAGTAATAACTAATAAAGATCACATTTTTAATACAATTAAATTACCCCATTATATTATATTCTCACCAAATTATTCTCAAAATATATTCAAATTGCCTTGGTTAATTATTAATGTCATTTTTATAATGAGAACTTTAAACTGGGACGAAGGTTTAGATGCAAAATTGACAATGAGCAAAGGTTTATATTTATTTAAACCAAGCTCTTTGTTCCCTCTCCGTCAACAAGTGAAGTCTGTCCGAAAGTTACAACAATTAAACTTTCAAGTTTACACCATGTCCCAAATATAGATCATTTGGCAAACCGTCCAAGTACTTAACAATTTACAACAGCAACCGAATTAAGAAAAAAAAAAGTTTGATGAAATGCAGAACTTTGACAACAACAAGGCAACAACCCTCTTGCCCTTATACAGACTCCAGTTTAGTCAATTTGTGTTGCAACAGATATCATATGTTTTTCTAAATATAAAAAAAGGTGTAAACCAATGGCAGTCACATCACCCTAATGAGGTATGTGATAGACTTCCCATGTTCCATTGCATCCAACTTCTTCATTGTCAACACCTTCCTTCTCACAGTCCCACCAGCCACCTCCATTTGCATCTGAAAACAAATTAGTCAAGCTTTACCTTATATGCTGAAACCATGGCTTAGAGTAGAAAACATCCAAGACAAGTTTTTCAGAAGATGAATTATAAGTGATGCATGTGACTTACAATGATTGAAGTAGGTAGTTGATTTCTCAGGAATTGCACGCCTCTTTCCATTTCTTTTTTGCTTATTCTTTGAATCCTCTCCTAAGACTACCACTACCTTTCCAACAGATTGCTTATGACCATCACCTTATAATGGGAGAATCAAGGCATATAAGCTGCCAATGACACAGACCACACTAGAGCAGAAAATTTAAGTCCAATTAAAAACATTTTAATTGCAAAAATATTTCTTTCATTGTTACAGTGGTTAGCTCCAGTTGGAATGACCCTAGCACAAGGTAGGTACTGAATATTCACCATTTTCAAGCTTCATTCCAACAGGTTTTATAAATAAGACAAGTACTTTTGGTAAATCAAGACACTATTATATGGAGAAATGAAACTAGTAAGATTTCTCCCTCCAAACAATTTGATATGCACAAAGCTCTTCATGTGGATTGCATTAGTACACACACCAGTGAACGTTGGAGCAGGCTTAAGTATTAGCATTTGCAGCAGCCTAATGTAAATTAGGCAAATAATGTTCCTACTTTCTCTTTTGTCTTGTTTATTATTCGATGGTGAAATGAGTTGTCTTTTTAATCATGTTCATTATTTTTTATTGATAAATTTGAAATTATAAGTTTGTTTAAAATTGTAGAAAAATGTAACATGTATTTGTTATTTTGATTATATGTACATCCGGAACTGTATAGATAAGACTTAGAGTAGATAGAACTCTCTAACTAGTAGATAAGCTCGCAGAATAGATAGATCCTATATTTTAGGATCTGTAACAACTAGGCTTTATCCGTAACTTGTATATATATCATTGCCGGATGGCTCAATAATATTCAAGGAAGATTAATTCTTCAAACCTACATGGTATCAGAGACTCGGTTTAAACAATGGTAGAAACCAGTGATGCTGATTCCTCACACACTATCAACCCTAACTCCCAAATTAGCCCTATGACAAATTACAGTCTCCTATTCATTCATCTATGATAATCACTAGTCATAGATTGAATGGAACAAACTATCTGGAGTGGTCTCAATCTGTCAGACTTGCAATTGATGGGAGGGGAAAGCTGGGTTACATCACAGGAGAAATCAAACCAAAACTACCTGCAGAAGAAGGTTACAGTACATGGAGGTCAGAGAATTCACTCATAACAGCTTGGCTTCTCAACTCCATGGAGCCCTTAATTGCCAAACCTCATATGTTTATGAAAACTGCAAAGGAGGTATGAGACTCTATTAAGGAAACTTATTCAGATCTTGAGAACTCTTCTCAAATTTTTGAACTCAAAACCAAATTGTGGCAATCTAAACAAGGAAATAGGGATATTATTTCATACTACAATGAAATGGTATCTCTGTGGCAAGAATTAGATCAATGCTATGGTGATGAAGAGTGGGAGAGTGCTAAGGATCCGGCCAGACATAAGAAAAGAGAAGAGAATGATAGGGTCTATATGTTTCTAGCAGGGATCAATAGGGACCTAGATGAAGTAAAAGGCAGAATACCGGGAAAGAAACCTCTGGCCTCAATCAGAGAGGTCTTTTCTGATATCATGTTGGAAGATAGCAGGAGGAGGGTCATGTACAACACTCCAGTACCTAATGAGGAACCTGGGGACTGTTCAGCTTTAGTGGCCAGAAGTGATGACAAGAAAAAACCTTGGTGTGATCACTGCAAAAAATTGTGGCACACAGGGGAAACATGTTGGAAACTTCATGGAAAACCACCAGGAGCTGGAAAGAAGAAAGTTGAGAGGGCCGTACAAACTACTGTGACTGAGACTCAACAAGAGTCAGGAGTTGAATCTAAACATGTTGTAAGAATTAAAGATAGAATAGTAATGAGAAGAATGATTTTTGTGTGTATTTCATTGGAGGGTCAAGCCCATATATATATACATTACAAAGATAGAATATTCCTTTAAGATTCTATACAATAATAATATCCTAGAGTATATTCCTAAAATATTCTAAAGCATATTCTAAAGATAGAAGAATATTCTAAAACATATTCTAAAGAATATTCTATAATGTCTTTCACACTCCTCCTCAAGTTGGAGCATAAATATTTATCATGCCCAACTTGTTACATAAGTAACCAACACGAATTCCATTTAGTGCTTTAGTGAACAAATCTCCAAGTTGCTCTCCAGTCTTCACATGTCCTGTAGAGATCAATCCTTGTTGTATCTTTTCTCGAACAAAGTGACAATCGATCTCAATATGTTTTGTTCTCTCATGAAACACTGGATTGTTGGCAATGTGTATAGCAGCTTGGTTATCGCACCAGAGTTTAGCAGGCATTGGTGTCTTCAATCCCATTTCACTCAATAAATGGTTTATCCAGATTATCTCACATGCCGATTGTGCCATAGCCCGATATTCTGATTCAGCACTCGAACGAGAAACCACATTCTGCTTCTTACTTTTCCAAGAGACGAGATTACCACCAACAAAGACGCAATAGCCAGATGTGGATCTTCTATCATCTTTAGATCCAGCCCAATCAGCATCTGCAAAGCATTCTATTCTCATGTGATTATGATTCTGATAAACAATACCTCGTCCCGGTGTCCCCTTCAAGTAACATAATATATGCTCTACAGCATTCCAATGATCCACTGTCGGAGATGACATGTATTGACTTACTACACTCACTGAGTATGCAATATCTGGACGGGTAACCGAGAGATAATTAAGTTTTCCAACCAACCGTCTATATCTTTCCGGATCTTCGAATGGCATACCTTCATGAGTGAGTTGTACATTGGGAATCATGGGAGTACTGCTTGGTTTTGCCCCCAATTTCCCTGTTTCAGTTAGTAAGTCAAGCACATATTTACGTTGAGATAGAAATATGCCTTTCTTACTCCGTGTAACCTCAATTCCCAAGAAGTATTTCAATGAGCCCAAATCTTTCGTCTGGAATTGACTATGAAGAAAATTCTTTAGGGCCAAAATACCTGTATTATCACTCCCTGTAATCACAATGTCATCGACATACACCACAAGCAATGTAATACCTGTTTTCGTTTGTCTGTAAAATACAGAATGATCTGATTTGCCTTTTATCATCCCAAATCGTTCAATTGATTGGCTGAATTTCCCGAACCATGCACGGGGACTCTGTTTCAAACCATAAAGAGACTTGCGAAGTCGACAAACTTTCCCATACTCCCCCTGAGCAACAAACCCCGGAGGTTGCTCAATATAAACTTCCTCCTGAAGATCACCATGCAAGAATGCATTCTTAATGTCCAATTGATGTAAGTGCCAACCATGAGTTGCTGCGAGAGAAATAAGTAATCTGACAGATGTTAATTTAGCAACAGGAGAAAATGTGTCAGAATAATCAACGCCATAGGTTTGAGCATAACCCTTCGCAACTAATCGGGCTTTCAATCGAGCAACGGATCCGTCAGGGTTAACCTTTACAGCAAAGACCCACTTACATCCTATAGACTTCTTCCCTGTAGGCAAGTCTACCAAATCCCAGGTACCATTAAGATCCAAAGCATTCATTTCCTCTACCATGGCATGACGCCAATCAGGATGAGACAAAGCATCTTTAACAGATTTGGGAACAGAAATAGAATCAAAGGAAGCAATAAAAGAACATGAGGCAGATGATAACTGATTATACGACACACATGAAGAAATAGGATGAGTACAAGACCGTGTACCTTTACGTAGTGCGATGGGGAGATCAAGATCTGATGTAGAGACAGGATTTGAAGATGCAGGTGTCGGTTCAGGATATGAGATCGGATCAGTATCAGGAGAAGTAACCACAGGTGGAGGGTGATCTTGCACTTTGTGTCGACGGGTGTATACCAAGTGTATCGGAGGCCTAGGCTCAGGAAAAGTAACATGGGCAAGAACTGCTGAAGTATTGGACTCGGGTATAGTGACTGTGTAAATGAGTATATCATCATTCTCCCTACAGATATTTGTGTCTGTTGATGAAAATGGTGTATTTTCATAAAAGGAGACATCAATTGAAACAATATACCGACCTGTACTTGGAGAAAAACATCTGTACCCCTTTTGAACTCGAGAGTAGCCTAAGAAAATGCACTTTAATGACTTGGGATCTAACTTTGTTAAATGGGGATTAACATCTCGTACAAAACAAGTGCAACCAAAAACTTTAGGAGGAATAGGAAAATTTTCATTATTTGGAAATAGGCACTGATATGGAGTTTTACCATCTAAAACAGTAGATGGCATTCGATTGATCAAAAAACATGCGGTAGACACAGCATCTGCCCAAAAATGTTTTGGCACATTCATTTGGAATAGAAGAGCCCGCGCAGTTTCTAATAGATGTCTGTTCTTTCGTTCAGCAACTCCATTTTGGGGAGGTGTGTCTACACATGAAGTTTGATGAATTATGCCATGTTGAGCCATATACAACTTAAATGAGGCAGACAAATACTCTTGAGCATTGTCTCCCCTTAAAATACGAACATGTACATTAAATTGAGTTTTGATTTCAGCACAAAAGGCACAAAAATGAGAAAATAACTCGGAACGACGTTTCATGAAATAAATCCAAGTCATACGAGAATAATCATCAATAAAGGTAACAAAATATTTAAAATCAGATTTGGACACAACAGGGCAAGCACCCCAAACATCAGAATGAACCAGTTCAAAAGGAGCATGTGCTCGTTTATTGACTCGAGGACTTAGACTACTTCGATGATGTTTTGCAAATTGACACGAATCACACTGTAAAGATGACACCTTATTGAATTGAGGATAAAGCTTCTTTAACAACGGAAGAGAAGGGTGACCTAGTCGATAGTGAGCCTCTAACACAGTTCCAATGCCAAGACAAGAGATTGATTTGGGTAAGGATGTATCCAAGAGATAGAGACCGGCCGACTCATATCCTTTACCAATAACCTGATTCGTCAACAGATCCTGAAATACATAATATCCAGGAAAAAAGGTTACGGAACAATTAAGTTTACGTGTGATTTTGCTGATCGAAATCAAATTGAAAGCAAAATTTGGAAGACTTAGGACGGGTGACAAAGGTAAGGTAGGTGTTGGGACAATTGTACCCGTACCAAGAACGGGTGACGTAGATCCGTCAGCCAAAGTCACACTAGAAGA